GTCCTTCTGCTCGTCCTTCGTGCGGAACTCTGCCCTGGGGCGGTTTCCGCGGCCGCGTTGCAAACAGCGTTATGAAAAGAAGCGTTATGGGGTATATGTACCTATGTAACCGGGGGGAAGGGCGGGGCAGGGGAGGGTTCTTTTTAATTCAGGTTGCCTTTGCTCCTCTCGTTTAGGATAAGGAGAAGAAGAAGAAGGAGAGTATTTTGGATCTCTCCAAATACATCGACAAAACAATCCGAGTGAAATTCCAGGGTGGGAGAGAAGGTGAGCCGGTGCTCGGCCCCTGCCTCGGCACCACGAAGCTTACGCTGCGTTTTGGCGTTTTTCCTCGCTCTTTGCTTGCCGGCTGTTGCCTCCTGTGTGGTCACCTTGCTTGCTTTCGAGGAAAGACGATGAGTAGCGGGTGCTTTTATTTGTTGCTCTTTGCTGTTACCGGTGTGAAGCTTATCTCCTTTAGCTTTTCCATTAATCCCCTAGCTGCAGTTTTATCCTTATGTTTCATCTGTACACCTTGCTTTCATCTTCTTTTGCTAGTTGTCTTCAACTGTCTTGTTTCTTTTGGCTGTTTTTCTCATTGAAAGGGTGCACTTAAGGCAGCAAAGAAACATTTATGGGTGTTATGATTAATACACCTGTCATCCCTTTCATCTCTTAACGTGCTAAATGTGCCTGGAGTTCATAAATTGTTTCACTATGTTTCACCGTGTCTTTTCATCGCTTTCAAGGCTCTTCCGTCGTCGTTTCCCCACCCTTACTTGCTCCCTTGCCGTATCTACAGCTGTCGGTCCCGGTGCAGCTGATCGTGCCGCTTGCATGCTGCTTGGTTGTCTGATAGTTAACAGCATGCCGTGTGGGAGGTGCTTGCCAGAAGCTTTTGCTAAAGCAAGCTAGGTTTGCTTTTAAAAATCTCTTAAAGCTCCACTGGGACCTGATGCTTATGAGGTTTTGGAAGTTGCTTGGACTCATTACTGATAAATGTGGGGTTTGGGTGGGTTTGGTTTTGGTAGTTTTGTTTGTTTTCCAGTTTTTGGGCAGTTGACAATTCCATTGAATCTGTTGGTTTAGATTTTCTTCTCAAAAAACTTCACACCAAGTTCCTTTATGATCTTCATATAACGCCTGGGGTTGTAAGAGTCTCTTCTTTGATTTGGGCTGTTAGCAATGATAGTAATGCTGGTAATCCACAAGTATTTTTCAAACTGTGAGATCATTCTGTGTGGTCTTGTGATTTATTTAGTGATCAGTCTTGTGGAATCATGTTCTGGTTTAGGACAAAGTGCTTGTCTGTCTGCAGTGCCTTCCCGTGAAGGCAGTGCTTATGCTAAAGAGATTATGTTCCAGGAGGGCACCTGGAAGATGGGTTTTCTGAGGAAAACACTTCAAAATATTACAGTCTTGCCTCATTTTTTTGCCATACCCCTTTGCTAAGGGTGTTTATTTGGTTTTGGGGTTGTGGTGGTTTGTTTTGGCGTTTTTTTTTGTGTGTGTGGTTTTTTTTGTGTGGTGTGATTTGTACTGATTTGTTATGCTGAAGTATTCTTAAAATGCCCCTGAAATTGGCTGAAAACAAACGTTAATGTCTTGAAGAGCATTTTTAAGAATTGGTTGCAAAACCTGTAAGTTTCAGTTGGCACAACACAAACCAGGTTCTTGTGCATTTGCACTTTGATAAAGAGGGCGCTGTTTTATATCTCTGGTCTCATTTGCTTGATAGCCTTGCTTGAAGGGAACAGAGCTGGAGAGCTGGATGTGTCCTTCGCGCGGTCTTGTGTTGCTGTATACCTGGTTTTGGTCTCTAATCATTGTTTTGTGTGTGGTCTTCAATAGCAAGCGGTGTCTTGAAAGGATTTGACCCTCTTCTGAACCTTGTGCTTGATGGTACCATTGAATATATGCGAGGTAAGTAATATGCTACCTGTGTAAAGCCCCCCTCCCCAATAATTTTCTTAACAGAAATCTTACAGCTCTGTGAGTGAATAACTAGGAACTACAGGTTGACATCATCCGAACTGAGACATCTTTATGATAACTACATTGTAAAGAAAGGGATAAGATAACAGAAGTTAGATTAAGCACGTTCCCTGTGGTAGAATGTTCTTGGTAGTCCTTACTTGAGCTCCTCTAACTCATTTGGCGCTCTTGTCCTCTAAAGCTTGAATAAACCAGTGTCTCCCTTCAGATGAGGCAATTGTCCTTGCCGGTGTTCATACTGCTGGAGGGTTGCTGGTTAGCTCAAAGCAGGAGAAGCATCTTGGCAAGAACTAGTATCTTACTGTCTTAAACTCTACTGTAAATGCAGTCTTTGCATTTCTGTGGAACAAAAACCTTCTATAGCTTCTTGGAGCTAATAGAACTGTAGGGCTTTTTTCTGATTATTTGTTTCTTTTTCCCATCCAACGATAAATACTCCCATTTCCCTTTCTCCTTTCTGAAACAAAATTTATCGTATGATAGAACAGCGTTTTTGAAGAGTATTCTCTTGCCTGCTTACAAGGAAGCACCTGAAGCTTTAAATTTGCTCTTAGAACGGAGTTTTAAAAGATGAATGTAGTGCATATTTATTGAATACATTGACATCTCAAGGAGGGTAGAATTGGCTATTGCTGTGTTGAGTATTTGTCTGTCTGTCCCCATCCACAGCCTTGCTTGGCTTGGTCTGGAAATGGACCAGTGCATTCTGAAGTCAGGGTCTTTTTCTGATTTGCATTGATCCCAAGGTGTTTGTCCATAATGGCATTTGAAATGGGATCGGGAGCTTTTTTAATCACTTGTATGTATGCTTTCGGTTAGATGAATGAAAGGGCCTTTGAATTCTTTAAAAGATATGTGTTCAGCTTTGCATACAAAGCGAGGTTCTTTTATTGCTCACTGTGGCATGTGCTACTTTGAAAATTAGTAAATCGGTAATGTCTTGAAGACATCAGATATTACTGCTGATTCACTTTTATAGTCCATGTGTTCAATAAAACAATGCAGAGATGCCTGGGAAAAAAGCGAATGTCTGTGCGTTTTGAAGTTGATGGAATTTGGTTTTGTTTCCTTATGTTGCCATTGTAACTGTGGATCTCTGCTTTTCAGATCCAGATGATCAATACAAATTAACAGAAGACACACGTCAGCTGGGACTTGTGGTCTGCAGAGGGACTTCTGTGGTTCTTATTTGTCCGCAGGATGGAATGGAAGCTATTCCAAACCCTTTCATTCAGCAGCAAGATGGCTAATGCTTTCTTTGGGTTGTCTCTGAAGACTTCCAAGGGTACAAATCATCGGAGAAAACTGTCATTGTGTGAGAAGCTTCCTGTTTTGGGGGGGAGTTTGAATGTGTATTCGTTAGTGTGAAAGAATGGTCAACTTTTATTTTTGTGGCTTTCCCTAAATGAGGAGAGGATGGGGTATGGTGTGTAAGAAATAAGTTCTGATTTCTGCCCCTCCCCTCCATAAATGTGTAACTACATTGTTTAGAGCGGACAGGAGAGAATATATTGTTATGGAATTGTCCGAGACCCTCTTGATCTTGTGGGTTTTGAAACAGTCACATAAAATTAGTAAAGAATGCCTTGAATATTGGTTATATTATTTACATTTTTAAATACATTAGAAAATGTATTTAATCTAAATGAATCTAAAGCCTAAATACATTAGAACATGTGTTTCTTCCTCATAGATGCCCATACTCAGCTGGGAAGCATTGTGTTGTAGTCTTCCTGCTGTTGAGTTCAGCCTCTTTTCCCTGCTTGCTCCAGCACATGCAGGAAAATTACTTTCCTTGTATAGTAACTTGTCATCACCTGTACAAGCGGTGTAGCTAAGAAGGTCTTTTCTAGCACTTGTTCCAGACCTTGTGCGCTGTGATCTGTGTATCAGAAGGCTCCCGCATTTCTACAGAGGACTGGACTAACTTCTAGGATGATTCTTGGCTGAGTGACATGAGCCATATGGAAGTATGTGTTCGATACTTGGAATTTTAGGGGAAGAATATTCAGGATCGTAATGTTCAATTGTAGGCAGTGTCTGGAAATACTGCATATTTTTATATTGTAAGTATCCACTTGTGGTTCTGCTTGTTATAACTTGATTTGTAAGTAAACATTTTTATTTCTTTTATACTGAAGAAATAGCAAGATTCGAGGAGTTTTGAGTGAATAAATACAAATTGATCTGTTCTTAAACGTCTGGTTTTTAGTCTGGAAAAGTGCTCTACAGCTGACATTGCAGTTCTCCACAGCTGTAAATCTAAATGAAATTTGTTCAGGAGGTGCCTAAACATAGCAAAATCAGGAGGGACCAGATCAGAAGCCGTGCTCTGCTCTAGGGCGGGAAATCGAAGAGAAATGCTTGAGAGCATCTGGTCCCTATTCCGAGGACTTGTGCGTTTCTGTTAGGCATTTTAAAGACTGCCCAATAAAGGATATGTGCCTGTAGGCTGTATGTAACCTGCTTCTGCCACCTGCTTTTCCTGAGGACCCTTTATGAGGAGGCTGTGGCAAAGTAAGCTGTTTTGGTGGCAGCAGCAGTCTTGTTCCTAGAGGTTGTCAAGAAAACCTGCCAAGGACAGGTTGTATTGGCTGTTCGTTTTGGCAACAGCCCCGTACTCCTGTTCGTAGCCTTTCTGGGGTCAGCTCTGAAATGGATGGGACCTTGAAGTAAATAAATTCCGGTTCAGTGTATCTGACTTTTCCAGGAGGCTGTGAAACTAGGGACCAGTTGTCTTGGGTGGCATGTTGCCTGTGTAAACTTGAGTGCTTCTGGATTTTCATCTCCTAGGTGTTCATTCTTTGAGTGCTTCACAGAACTGTCTGTAGAGTCATGCTCCTTCCAACAGTGGTTGGTTTTTTTTTCTAACACTACAAAGCTTGTTCTTCGTGCAATTGCACAATTCAAAAGAGACTCCTTTATTTAGAGTGTTTGGAGCAGAATTTGCTTGCCATCAGCCTGAGTAGAGTCTTGAACTGTCCCTTAGGTGGGAGAGAGATTGCTGGTTGTTGATACCAATAACATGCTGCACCATCTCTGCCCTCTTGTTTTCTGACTGGAGCATCTGAAACAGACCTGTTGAAGCTCTCTTGAGTGGATTCCGGGCTCTAGATGCAGAGGGTACAGAGAGATCTGCCTGAAGTCATGTGTCAAGTGCACAAACTCTGGAGGAGGGCATGTTCCCAGCATTCCCTGCTCAGTTCATAGGTTGCTCAGTCTGCATTGCAAGACACATGGCTGTCCTTTTCTGCAGGGCAGACTGCTGGGTTATATTTGGGAGTCAAGTACCTGAAAATAAGAATGTGAAAACGATAGCTGAATTTTAAATGTGTGTATGCTTTTCTATTGGATTCATTCCTAAATGTGACTCTATAAAACCATTTGCAACAGCAGTTTTGCAGAAGCCTCTTCCAGAAGTGCAGGAGGGAACCTCCAGGGAAAAAAGGTGCTCTTGATGCAGATAGCACTATTCTGCTTGCTGAACTCCACCAAGAAATGGGACTGAGCCTTGCTGGGATGGGCTCTTTGGAATAAGGGGCACTAGTTCAGGGTCACTATGCAAATCTCTCCACTTGATAGCTCGGTCTAAACACTTTGGAAGAATTCACGGTGTGGAACCAGTGAGCTGTTGCTTGTACTGTGACTATATTTAGTGCATTGAGATTGAGGATGACTGAATGTGTGGCAGCCATCGGGGTTTGAATGGGGGCTCATTCCTTCCCCCCATCCCTTACTAAAGTATAAAATTAAATATATACTAAATACTGAAAGCAATCTGGAATTTGATATTAAACTTGAAATGATGAAGGATGTGGCTTTGGGGAAATCAGTGTTTTTTCCCAGGAAGTCTTAAGCTTTCCTATGTTTTTGATTTGCAGAAGTGAAAAGTGTTGGAATGGGTACTCTTTTCCAAATGGGTTCAATGTTCTTCTACAACTTCTTGCTATTTAGTCAGTGCTTAGGAAGGTTTTGGTTTTCTCCTCTTTCCTCCTCGTAGTCCAGGCTCTTTGCTTGGCTAACAGCTCCCCTGATTTGCTGCGGTCTTACGTGGCTAAGGTAGATGCCAATTAAATCTGCCTGTTTTTTTGGTTATACAGCTCTCCTGCTATTGCTGCTCTGAAAGCAGGAGGAAAGCCTGAAGAGCAAAGCAGGAGGGTAGAAAACATTCTATTTTTAGGACAAGATTGGCTTATCTTGTATTTATCCTAGCTCGGAGGATAATGTTTCCAGAGACCTCACATGAGTAAGGGCTGCATAAAGGCTGAGTTAAAATTAACTGCCTGGCAGTCAACAAGCATGGAGTCTGCAGAAGAACCAGAGGAGCTGGGACCTCAGACAGAAGTGATTGCAGACACAGTTCTTGAGGTTGGAGAGAGACTCTTTCAGGTCAGCCGTAGGGCACTGTCAGTACACAGTCGCTATTTTGAAGCCATGTTTTTTGGGGGGGCAAGAGAGAGCTCTGAACACCACATAGTGATCAGAGGGATTGATGCGGTGCCTTTTCAGGCGCTACTTGAGTTCACTCGCACAGCCCGAGTGCTTATAGGTCAAGAAAATGTGACCAGCTTACTGGAAACAGCTGATTTTTTTCAGTTTGACAGGGTGAAACTGTTGTGTGAGAAATTTCTGGAGAGAGAGCTGCATGTTTCCAACTGCCTGGGCCTGATGACCTACTCACAGCAATTTGCCTTTATAGAGCTGTATGTGTCTGCTATGAATGTGGCTCTCACTCACTGGGGGGATGTGATATGCCAGGAAGAATTTAAGGCACTACCCAAAGAAATGCTGATGCAGCTCCTAAAAAGCGATGACCTCTTCGTTTCGCGAGAAGATGTGGTTTTTGACAGTATTATGAGGTGGATAATGGAGGACCCAGCAACGAGAGAGGAAGACTTTCTGGATTTGGTGGGCGAAGTCAGGGTCACTTTTCTGAGTTTGTCCTTCCTCGATATCTTGGTGAAACGCAGCAAGCGCCCCGGAGAGACAGATACCTTTTCCAGATTAATAAAGAAGTTAGACAGCTGTCCTCCACCCAGCTGGCAAAATATGGAACTGTGTCCTTACGCTAGTCGGAGCTATGACACCTTATATGTCCTGGGAGGAAAGCATGACAAGGAACAGCAAGAATTATTTCTCTTTCAACCTAAAACAGGGACCTGGCAGGCTTGTTCTCCACTGCAGCGCAGGAACCTCACCCAGTATGCAGTGGCAGCAGTAGGTAACTTGCAGAGAAGTGGGACTGAGCAAACGCAAACAGAATTTGAGGCCGAGATACCCAAATGCAGGGAGTTCAGCTGCTTCTCCTGTAAAACTGCATTGTTCAGCATTGCTAAAACCTCATTCATATTTGTGTTCATATTTGTTCAAAGAATGGTTTTATTTTCCTTAGTCCTGGGAGAATTAGACAAGGCTGAATATTTCTTTTCATATAGCAGAAACTGCTGAACTCCTTACATTAGCTTTGTCTGGAGTGAGTCTAATGACTTCACTTTGAGCAGCATATTTTTTTGGCCTTCTCTTTCATGGTTGGTTTTGACAGATGGTGACTTCTGATTTATAGTTGCCATTAAGTTAAACTTACCCACGGATGTTGTGAAATCTTCATGCTTGGAGACTTTCAAGACAGCTCAATACCATGGCTTCCCTTACTTAGTGTTGGTGATAGTCCTGTTTCAAGTGGGAGTTCGGACATGGGATCCCCAGGGGTTCTTTCCAACCAGTGTTTCCATGCTTCTGTTCGAGAGTGGGAGCACTTACTGGAAGGACTTATTGCATCCCGTAGGCCCAGCATATCTGGGCAGATGAGGAATCAAATACTGCAAACCGATAGAAAGAGCAGTAATTTTCTCTGCTCATCTTGTACCTCATTGGCACGGCCCAGGGAGAAACGAGAACCTTCGTTCTCAGGAGCAATTTTCAGCCTTCACGTAACTGATGCTTTTCTCTGCTGTCTTTCCAGGGAGCTTCCTTTTTGTGACAGGAGGATATTTTCGGGATGAGTTTGTGTGGTATAGTGTGGATTGGGTGCTTATCTACAATTGCTTGGACAATAGCTGGCTGGAAGGGCCTGCCATGAAGAAGTCCCGCAATAGCCATTGTGCAGTAGGAGCAGGGCTCTACCTGTATGTACTTGGAGGGAACACAGATGAAGGGATAATCCCTGCAGTGGAGCGCATGGCTTTGACGGAGTCAGAGTGGGAAAGCATGAGTCCTATGGCTCAACCTGTGGAGAGAGGAGATGCGGTCAGTGTGGGAACCAGGATCTATGTGGTCTGTGGCCTGGATGAAAATGGACATGTATATGATGGAGTGCAAAGGCTGAACACAGAGACGGACAGCTGGGATGTCATCTCATTCTCCCCGCTTCCAAGGTAAGAAATAATCTTCTGGGACCTGGCAGGAGAAGAAAGGTTCTAGTGTTGGTCCTGCTCCAAGAAGAGGTTGGACTGGAGAAATCCAGCAGTCCTCTCCCACCAGCACTTCTGTGATTCTCTGTTTAAACAGGACACTTGAGAGGAGGACCAAAGTCGCACTGAATATTTCAGAGGCCAGATCTTTCTGTTGATTCTGATCAAGGGTTTCTTCCCTCCCAGGTACGACCTCTGCATCACATCTCTGAACGGTGCTCTGTACACCATAGGAGGAGGAGCTTTTCGATTTGATGTGGAGACAGATGAATGGACCCAGGTGGATGAGGAGTGCTTGGCCCAGAAGTTCTTCATGGGATGCAGCACCG